AAAAAATTGTAAAAAAGGGCTGTTTTAATAGATAACACCCCATATAGTTTTGATTTACATAGTGCACGCGCACCCCCTAAATTTGTACTTCATATGCGCGGATTTGTAAAATTTTTGACGCTCCCAAATTTGACTTTATATTAGTGCTGCAGTGCGTCAGTAATTTACACCAGATTAACCAATTAAATTTTTCAGTTGTGTGATTGGCTAATTGATGTAGATCCAAACGTGATTATTAACCAATAAAATCAATTAAAAATTCTTTCAATACGCGAAATACGCGAAAAAATGAATTTATTTAGAAATAACCATAGGTGAAATTAACCGGTATATAGTTTTGTTTGTTTATTTTCTAATAAAAATTTTTTTTTCATTAACTTTAGGGTTAGGGCGAGGACTATATTAGAGTTATAGTGTTTATTATATATAAAATTAAGCGCTGAAAACTTTTACTTAATGATATGAAGCAAGTTTTCATAATAAAATTTTAAGATATTAACGTTTTTTGTTTTTTTCCTAAAAATTCTTCATTTTTGTTACACGAAGATCCTACGATTTGATTGGCTAATCATATAACCGGTGAATTTCACCTCCGGTGAGTATTAAGATCGTCCCGAAAAAATGAATTTATTATTATGGACGAATCTAATTGTAACAACCCGTTACGCACTTATTTGTAACAACTCAATTAGTACAACCAATAAAAATAACATGTAACCCAAACCCTAACTCAAACTACTATTGGCTAATGCGAGGTTGTTACGAGAACATTTATTCTATTATTATTAACAAAAGCAAAACATTTTTAATACTAAAGTAATTTTATTCTATTTTTCAACCATACGATAACCCTAACCCTAACTCTAATGTTAATACAGTAATAGCTTATTTGTATTATTTAACTATAACACAAAATTTTATTAAGGTAACCCTGTTGTGTAACTAATAAAAAATATTCCTTGTATAATTTTACTATATATATAATAAGATAATCATATTTTTAGTTAATATTATATTTAATCATTTATATAATAGAGGATGCACTCAGTGCATGGGGGTACTGTTTAAATTTTTTATCCAAACAATAAATAATTTTTAATTTCTTTAACTACACTTTCATAAATTTTGAATGAAGAAAACTTACTAATTCTCGGTTTATTTTCAATAATTAAGGCTATTTTTGAATTTACAAATTAATAAAATTCTAAAATAGTCTTAAAATGTTTAAATTAACCAGATCATTATTGAGATCCCTTCACTCAAAGTTCGAAAACACATATTCCAACAGGAATATCATATTTTGCACTTTTAAAATCCTGATTTTTATGATGTATATTTGCTACGTAATTACAGTAATTTGAAAAGTATATGTAGCAATTCCAAAAAAACGTATTAGCATAAAAAGCATAATTTAGTACAATTAGCAAGCATAATTTGACAGCATAATTCTGGACATTCTAGTACTTTAGATTATCTCCTTAAATCATTTGGTTAATTTTTCACAAGGTGTCCCAGAAACAACTGAATCAACCCGGTTTTATTTTAATTCGGTTTAAAATCGGATTGAATTTTATGTGGGCGATTAAAACCGAAAACCGGCTTGCAAAAATAAAATTGGTTCCATTCTATATAAGATACAAATAAAATTGAACTTGATTATGTGGTCACCGAGATATTTTCTCTCAAGGTTAAGGAAATTTTAAAGATTTGATAAATGCTTAAAATATTTCTAAATTTATGTTCTTAAAAAATTTAATAATTTTATATAATTATAGAATTCAAATAAAAAAAAATTTCTTCGAATTTAGTTGTGTGGTTACTATATCATATCTGAAGCATTATCAAAATATTAAAGTTTTCAAACTTTAGCAAAAAATATCTCGATATTAAAAGACAGCAGTCAGATTATCGTTATCGAATAAACAAAATATCACATCCGATGACATTGAAACAGATCAGATATAATGGTCTACTGTAAAAAAGAAATCGCGTTAGCGGATATCTTGTAAATATGGCTATTCGCTTGTTAGATAATCAAACCGTTCTCAAACTACGCACATTTCACGTTTCAACGGTCGTGCAATGTGTAGTCGAACTTGTTCAAAACAGTAGGATCGAATTTATACACGAGCTTGTTCCTGGAAAGTGCTTTATATTTGACCTATTGTAATATACATTAGGTCTCGACGCCATGGCAACTACGATCGAAATTCATGTTGATGTTTCAAAATATTTCATACAAGTTATTGACAATGGAATCGGAATTCCGCCCAGTGACATGGATAAACTTGGACAACGACACGGTATTGTCCTGTAGCAGTTAGAATATCTGCATTAGTTTTAATTATTATTGAATATCTAAATTCCCGTATGTATTACAGCCACTTCAAAATGCCATACGTTGGAAGACTTAGCGCATATAAAGACATATGGGTTTCGTGGAGAAGGTTTTGCTTTATTAGCTTGCTTCAATAAGTAAAATTTCTTTTTTAACTATATAACCAATACCTTATTAATAAAGCACTAGCAAGCTTGGCTGAAATCTCAATAATGGAAATAATTAGCAAACATTTCGATTATTACGATACTTACTGTGTCATAATCAAGGTCCAGTATGCATATCATGTTTACGCATTCATATTGAGTTTTTTTGCCTAAATTTTTTTTTTTCTTATTTTTTAGGGTGGGCTTCGTCTTCAATTAGGTCCAACTCGAAATAGCAAACGAGCAAAACCAGGAACTATCACAATAATCCGTGATTTATTCTATACGGTGCGAGATCATAAATACAGAAATGAAATGATTACATATTTGAATATTAATCTTTATATTTCGCAATTTAGTATCCAGTTCGTAGGAAACAACAATCTGTTAATACGCTCGCGAACGAACTGGAGAATGTTAAAAAAGCTGTTGAAATACTAGCATTAATAAACCCTCAAGTGGCGTTTACTCTGGTTGACGCATCAATGGATAGTAAAATAGTTAATACGAGGAAGGTACGTATTTCCAAATATTGAAACAAGTTCTCGGTAGAATTTTTATTATCTCTTAATAATACTTGATTGAATTATATTCATATTTGATGATAAGAACCTTCTACTACACAATATTATATATTATTAGACTTCGTCACCTATTCCTGCTATTTCTACATTCCGACAACTTTACGGCGTTTCTTTAGCACAGGCATGTATGAAAATACAGTTGTACACGTGAACGTATATATATATGTACCCATGAGAGTACGTATGTAATGCTATCAAAATTTTGTTGCAGAACCTTGAATCGGTTTATGCAGAAGAAGACGACATTAGGATTGATGGATTTTTTTCGTTAAGAGGTTTACATATAAAGGTATGTCTTAATTATTTTACTGATGTGATTCCATTATACATCCGTATTGATGAATTCAATTCCTTACAATTTAAAGAACCATCAATATTTCTGTGAGTACTTTATATGTAACATTAATATGTTTGTACGCGTGTCTTCTAATCATCTTATTTCACACCAACAGATGTCAATAAGCGTTTCATTGCTAATAATGAACTGTATAAACTAATCGATGATTTATTTAATCAAAGCAACTTTGGAAAAAAGGTAATATTCATATTTCTATCATAAGATGTACATTTCGCTTTTTAATAATTACATGCATGTTTCACTAGCCAAATGAAGATTTGATTTCAAAATCGAAAGCGAAATTTCCAGGCAAATCGAGTGAGTTGAAATTATTGTAAAACATTTGTTATTCAATGTTTCTTACGTAAATTATTTATTTTTTAATAGGGAAGAATGTATTAACAAAGTCGTTGGAAAAATATCCAATTTTCTTTATTCATATCACTTGCCCGACAGAGAATTATGATATATCTTTGGATCCAGCTAAGAATATAATAGAATTCGAGGTCATTTTAGAGTGCCAAAACAATTCATTCCTTTATCCCTGAATATTTTATTCTGATGTTGTTGATGTTTTTAGAACTGGCCAAAAATCTTAAATCTTTTATCCGGTCTTGTGACACAATTTTTATTATGTCATGGGTTTTTAACGCAAGATATGGTGATGTCAAACGCGAAAAATCTTACCGTTTCAACAAATGATAGTAAAAAGTCAAGAATTAGACCTAGGCTCGATTTCCCATTGTCATTTGAGGACATAGCACATATAAAAAGTGGAGGAAAGAAACAATATGTTTTTAGAGATGAGGAACTAAAAGCTGGTCCATCGATACCTAAAAACATGGAAGAATCTGAAAATATTTTAGTTACCTCAAAAAAGACCGTGAAAATAAAAGGAAATGAATATACAAAATGGACAGAGTCTCGTACCAAACAGGCATTTTATATAGACACGCGCACTGGAAATTCGTGAGTAACATTATTTTATCATTTGAAAATTCATTTTTTTATAAAAAGTCAGCATTTACATAAGTGCATTATTGTAGATATATAAATATACCTGGGCAGACCCAATCCATGTCAGAAAATCATACGAAAGCAAGAATAGATCGAAGTCGATTACGTACATCGAACTATAAAAACGTCATCGGTGAATCACACGCGACACCATGGGCAAAAAATGCATTAGAGGTATTATTAGAAATTACTTTAAGAGTGTTTATAAGAAATCCTCACTAAAGGAATTTGATACATTCAAATAGAAATGGGATAATCCTGTTTTTCAAAGTTATGAAGCGCCAATTCCTTTGTTAAAACACATATCGACATGCAATAAACAATCGTCTGTAAGGAGCAGCTTTTTTCCTTGTAATGATTTTGCACAATCAAGTTTTGTTGAACATCGTTTCAGTAAGAAAGATTTCGCTCAGGCTCAAGTCATTGGTCAAGTTGATGATAAGTTTATCGCTTGCAAACTACCATATTCACGAGTGATTGAGTCGGATATTAAAAACTCCACGCAACAACGGATCTTAGTTTTGGTCGATCAACATGCAGCAGACGAGCGTGTACGTGTTGAAATGCTAATGAAAGAGTTTTGTGATTTCAAGAACAAGGAACGGATGCAAAATGAGAATGACAACGAAATTCATCCAATAAATTCCCTTGTCGAAACAATTCAAATAAATCCTCCCAATAAAATAATTTTAACGGAACGAGAGGTTCAAGTTTTGAAAAGATTCGAAGCTAATTTTAATAGTTGGGGAATTTTTTTTAGAGATAATATAGATACAAAACAGAATAATGCGTTGGTGTCTCCACACTTTATCACATCGTCAACTGATGATGACCATATTCCTATTTATATTACCCATTTTCCTAAAATGATTGCTGACCGTTGTATATTTGATTCACGAGTAACGCAAGAACTTTTACGTCAACATTTGTATTGGTTGGAAGACACTGGAGGAGTTGGCATTAATAATGTAGGCAATCAAAATGATTGGAAGACAATGATAAGACAATGTCCAAGGGGAATAATTGATATATTGAATTCGAAGGCTTGTCGAGGTATTTATTTAAAATGCATCAAATAACCAATTTACAGGCAGACCCTAATAATTATATTAATTGAAGGTGCAATCAGATTTAATGACAAACTGACACTGAATCAATGTCAAGAATTAATCTCAGAACTCGCATTCTGCGATTTTCCATTTCAGTGCGCACATGGCAGGTAATTCTTTATTTCTTATATAATGCAGATTATTCCTATTGATCGGTTTATAAATAAACTATTTTTCTAAAACAACTTTTTACTTTTGTGCCGTTGAACATATAAGACCTTCCATGATTCCCATTATATATTTAGATGAATTTGCAAAAACAACACATTCCTCTTGCCGTTATGAATCACAACTTCAACACAGATTATATAAGACAACCAAACAACAAGAAACCACTTTTGATCAACCTAAAAATTTTAGCTGGAAAAGGCGCAAAATTAATTTGGAACAGTTTCGAAAATAAGCCATTTTATTTTATCTTTTATGTTAATATAATGGGTCATAATCTTGTACTTATTATTGAATGTATCTAAAATAATATAATTTATAAATTAATTGGTTGCTTCAAGTGAAAAATTTCGATGACATTGAAAGTATATATTAATAATTATATCAGCACTAAATTACAGTGTTAAGACTAATTCTACTAATTCTACTAATTCTTAGAATTTCTTGAAAAAAGAATGTCAACAAAATTTACACAGGTTATCTAATAGATTATATACTATTTACAGACACCCAACACGAATTTTCATCGTTAACGTGTGAATGTAAAAAAAATGTGATAATAAAATTTATGTAAGGATTAATCAAGTAGCATGATTTAGACGATACGGTTGAACCTCGCTTTCACGCTCTCTTGGATTGCGTCTCCAAATTTCTTCAGGTGAAAGGTCATTTCTATAAACAACATCCGGAGGACCTGAAGAATTATCATCCATCTTGACAAACCGTTGTTGATCACTCTGTTGCCATTTTGTTGTCTGCTGCTTTTGAGCAGTCGTATTTAATTTAGATTGTGGTTTACGTAACAATGGTCGCAAAACGTGTTCAAAAAGTAAAGTAGCACCTCTTGATTGATCATTTTGAGCCCAGTATAGAAATATTAGTTTGAAAAAATTATAACCTGGTAACAAGCTAAGAAGTCGAGATGACCAAAAATCAGCTATTTGAAGCCAACCATAAACGGTCCAGTAAGTTAACCACTGTTTTTGTTCTTCAATTATTTCATTTTCATTGGAAGGTTGTTGATGAATGGCTTTGATTGAACGATAAGAAGGATAAACCACACCAACTAAATTACAAAAGAGAAAGACCGAATTTTTGTACATGTGCCTAACCGTTAAAGTCGAAATTATAACAAGAATAATAAAGAGATAAAATGGGGATACACCCAGCTCTACAAGTCGTGAAAATAACCAAGTTTTCATACATCTACTTTCTATAAACGAAACGCGTGTCACGAAAACTTGTCGAAAGGCGTCGGTTACAGGAACAAGATTTAAAGGACTGTTTGATTCAATTTCTGTCAAGACTTTTTCCAAAAAAGCGGTTGTTGGTAAGTCTTGAGGTGCGGGATCTTGGTTTGCATTGGTCTGCATCGTTCTTAACAGTGTCTCCTAATAATCGTGATGCTTTACAACAGGTTTAGGCGTCGATAAATTCTTGATGATCTTGGATTTTATGGTTAGTGTTACAAACTACGCAAATTCTTGTACGTAACGGTAATAGTATGATAATTTAACCTACACACTTCGTTATACTTTTTAACTTTTTATGTTTAATGACCCCGGTCGATCATTACTTTTCGATCATGACCAGTATATGAAATTCAAATCTTGTTCTCACAATAATAGGTTTTGAAACTTTTAATGTTCTCACCTAAAATTTCTCTGTTTTCTGGAAACACTGAGATCATTAAATTTCACATATTGACTATGACTAAACCGATAAATTTATCGACTTAGCCGCTTAGTCGATTGGCCGATTTTACAGCTGTTTTCATAAATTCCGAGACATGGTGACCGAGTCAATAAGTTACTGATAAATTACCAACATAAGCCGAAATCAAAAGTTTATCAATTCATTTATCAGCATTTTTTTCACTATCGGTTAGGATCACTAATTACGTTTAGCTACACGATTTCCCCCTTAGTAAGAATCATCGAAGTTCGTAGAAGCCCGATCCGCTAAAAAAAACATTGATTAGTTTTTATTTTTTTATTTTTTTTAGCGCTAGAGAGAAGTTCTGAAGTTTGTGTATCGGTTATTTTCCCTTGTACAGCGATAATGGTGTGCCTAGTAGGGTTGGCACAGAGGCATGGGCACGACAATATATTTGATGTGATTAGATGATTTGCACCGTATGAAAACTAGCATAACGATAATGGAAGTTTGTTTTTATTACAAATTCTGATTCTCAAATTTTGCGTATTCTACGTATAAATATGCCATTATAGTTAAATAAACTTGATTTAAATTATATTAAATTTTTTTGACTTCATTTATTTTTAACATTTAATAATTCTTTATTTCAAAGTTTGATGCCATTTAAAGTAATTATATAAGAGTATTACTATTCGCATCATAGATTTTACTATTCGCACTATGGATATATGTAAAAATCTATGATGCGAATAGTAGTACACGAAGTCACGTGTAACACGGAAACTCTGTTCGGCTACCATTTCTTGATGACATTAGGGTCATTAGTATCCGTAGATTTACTCTATTCAGATCACTACTTATGCTCGGCAAATTGTCAAAATTTCGGGTTGGGGTTCATCAAAGTTGGGACAATGTTAAGCAATACCAGCCGGCTACATCTACCGGGTGTTTGATAAGTCCCTAGACAGGACCTTTTTTTTAATCACTAAATAAATTACTATACTATATAAAAAAACGTAATAATTAGTAATCGTTATATAATCGTTATAATCTTTTTTATTTAATAAGATTAATACTATCGGAGATATAAAAAAAGGTCTTGTCTAGGGACTTATCAAACACCCGGTATAGCAATTATTAGCCGAGTATTTTTACTAAGTTTGAGTGATCTTTGACAAAATTTGTTAATTTTGGCCCAGCTGAATTTGATCCAGAATTTTTGGATGAATTGTCCAAGTTCGGCAAAGAGCGAATTACATAGATAAGGTAGTGATTGTAGTGATCGGATTCGAGTCAACCAATATAATCTTAAAATATACTTATGCGTCCTTAAATGATCAGCTGCTAATCTCCTTTACTAGTTACTGTTATCATGTTTATTATTTCGTCAATTATGATTACATTAAGTTTAGGTAATTATGACACATAAAGTATCACATTGTTATAAGTCGAAAATAATGTGTAAATGACATACAATTAAATACCATAGCATTATCCTTATATTTGCCGCAATCCCTTTAATTGACCGATCTAATTAGAGGTGCGACAAAAACTGCTACGGTTTGTAATGTAACTAAGCCCGCCAATCACTAGGATGACCCAAAGGATGACCTGTATCATGTTACTTTGAAGGTTCTAACCTCTAATAAGGGATACCCATCTAATCAATAAACCAAACAGGATGCTGGCTATTAAAAACTGTGGTAATGATGAAGAAGTTTGTCGAGAATTCATTTTAAAAAGGTGAAAATTTCGTGACGTCGTTTTTTCAAATTTTATTGGATCCTCATTCAAAGTTGTCTGTTCGGCATTTGACTTTGAGCAACAAATAATATATAGAGTTATAAATCATCGACATTTTCATAAAAAAAAAAAAATGCTGAGAATATGCTACCATATTAAGTGGCAACGTCGTGTCATCATTGGTTTCTGAATTCGATAGATTATATTTCTGCCCCATAAGTTCAACATTTTGTACACTACCAAAAAAGTCTGTCACCAAAACCTATATTTAATTGTATTGTGTGTTATTCAAAAATGAACTTATTAAGCTCTTCACAGCTATTGAGAAACAAAAGAAACCTTATCCAGGGGTCTCCGAAAAAGGTCACTGCGTACTCCAGGAGTTGAGTGTATCAGCGATGGGTCATATGAATCGAAAAGATCTTGTAAAGTTGATTTACTTTGCATATCTATCTTTTCAAGAAATTCAAGGTTGTAATATGTAAAGCGATCAATAACAGCTACTCCAATATCAGTGTCCATATGATGCTATTGTTATGTTGAGAAATTTTCTTGTTTCATCAATATAATCACTTTATTCTTAAAAATAAATAATTTGATTTGAAATAAAAGTAACTTACTGAATAAGAATTTTCACCAAGCTTACTGCTACCCGTAGCTAAGATGTTTGGAGAGTATATTTGACCGTACATAGTATTTGCTTGACAAGTATCAATCATAAACAAGATTTCATGATATCTACAAAAAGTTGTGTTTAATATATAAAAAAAAAACAATAAGAATAAGTTCACAATCATACCTTCGCTTTTCCCACATTTGTTCGAAAGCATCAGCCAAATCAAAGCTGCTGATTTCTTCCGCATCTTGAAATTTCAAGAATTCATTACCACCATGACCAGTCATATATACCAAAATATTTGATCGGTCATCAGATAACAAACGTTTAGATCGAGGTGTATCAGGTTCAACACGACCTATTAATATTATTAAATTTTACAAATCAGATTGGTTTAACATAAACGGGGTAATTAATTTAATAACATGCCTGTCAAAACTCTAATAAAATTTTCGACAGTGACCTCATAACCTCTATAATCGACTTCGACGTTATCTCCATAAAGATCCAGATATCTTCCTGCATTGTTAAAAACTGTGGCAGGGAATACGTTTCGAGGATTACAAGCAACGTCATCCGCAAGCATAAGGACAATGTTTGAATCTGGAATGCCGAGTCTCTTCACTGTACGATACATTGATAATGTATTTGCAATATGGCGATAATTGAACCAAAAACGAGAGGTGCATACCTATAACAGACAAAGTATTTTGAAGTTTGATTGAGTGAAAAAAATACATATATTTTAATTGGCCACTGAATATATACAAGAACACTTGCGTACTTTGATACGCTACCAGTACAGCCCAATTATTGGTGTGTCCACCACGGCTGAAAAAGCCATCAACAACTGCTTCGTTATTAGTCTCCGCTAAACTAAATTTACATATGACAAGACATATACATATTATGATGAAAAAAGAAAGTCTAGACATCGCCTCCAAATCAAAATCGAAATTATTTTATTAACGTTAGAGCTCAAAGCCATGAGATTTTATAATATTGTTCGTGTAACGTAGATTACAATTCTTAAGTATATTTAATATAAATAATTACAATTGAAAGTCATAGATTATATTAACCAATTCGACGTGAAATTTTTTACTTGACACCCATGAGTAGCTTGTTAGGACTTAATTATTATGACGATGACGAAGACGATCAACAAGCCGAAAATGACATGGTTACTGCAGAACAGAGTAATAACATTTTGGGTAAATACTTTTTCTATTTCGAGACAGTTGCAATTGAGTTATCAAGTTAAACATTTCTGTTTCTTTAGGGAAAACGAGCACGGTTACTTACCAAGATGTTGATCGTGAAGAAACCGGAGAAAATATTAGTTCCAAAAATGTAGTATGGCTTCTTGAAGACTTAATCTATATCATGTTTCACTTATATAGGATAGATTTGGTTGACAAAGGACTACAATTTGTTTCCTAACAGAGTACATCTATATCTCAAGCCATAGTACACAATATCGCAGGTAATTAACTGCTTGGACGATCAAAATCATTATCCAAGTGAATTGTATCTCTGGTGTGTCATCCAATCACTTGAGTTTCTGACAGAGTTGATCGTGCATAATTTCATTAAATTATTTCCAAAGAATTCGTACAATTAGTTTTCAAATTATTAATCTGGTTTTACGATTAATTTAGAACGTAAACAACCCAAAGAATCACCGGTTAAAAATCTACCGCAAACAATTTTAATTTCTCAAAAAACATTACCACCCTCCCCAACAGTTTTCTCTAATCTGATTCGTCGGAGAGGCAACAACACAATATCACAAAAGCCTCGTTATGAAGAATCTACATCACCA